TAGTCTAGTCTATAGTCTAGTCTATAGTCTAGTCTATAGTCTAGTCTATAGTCTAGTCTATAGTCTAGTCTATAGTCTAGTCTATAGTCTAGTCTATAGTCTAGTCTATAGTCTATCTAGTCTAGTCTATAGTCTAGTCTATAGTCTAGTCTATAGTCTAGTCTATAGTCTAGTCTATAGTCTAGTCTATAGTCTAGTCTATAGTCTAGTCTATAGTCTAGTCTATAGTCTAGTCTATAGTCTAGTCTATAGTCTAGTCTATAGTCTAGTCTATAGTCTAGTCTATAGTCTAGTCTATAGTCTAGTCTATAGTCTAGTCTATAGTCTAGTCTATAGTCTAGTCTATAGTCTAGTCTATAGTCTAGTCTATAGTCTAGTCTATAGTCTAGTCTATAGTCTAGTCTATAGTCTAGTCTATAGTCTAGTCTATAGTCTAGTCTATAGTCTAGTCTATAGTCTAGTCTATAGTCTAGTCTATAGTCTAGTCTATAGTCTAGTCTATAGTCTAGTCTATAGTCTAGTCTATAGTCTAGTCTATAGTCTAGTCTATAGTCTAGTCTATAGTCTAGTCTATAGTCTAGTCTATAGTCTAGTCTATAGTCTAGTCTATAGTCTAGTCTATAGTCTAGTCTATAGTCTAGTCTATAGTCTAGTCTATAGTCTAGTCTATAGTCTAGTCTATAGTCTAGTCTAGTCTATAGTCTAGTCTATAGTCTAGTCTATAGTCTAGTCTATAGTCTAGTCTATAGTCTAGTCTATAGTCTAGTCTATAGTCTAGTCTATAGTCTAGTCTATAGTCTAGTCTATAGTCTAGTCTATAGTCTAGTCTATAGTCTAGTCTATAGTCTAGTCTATAGTCTAGTCTATAGTCTAGTCTATAGTCTAGTCTATAGTCTAGTCTATAGTCTAGTCTATAGTCTAGTCTATAGTCTAGTCTATAGTCTAGTCTATAGTCTAGTCTATAGTCTAGTCTATAGTCTAGTCTATAGTCTAGTCTATAGTCTAGTCTATAGTCTAGTCTATAGTCTAGTCTATAGTCTAATCTATAGTCTAGTCTATAGTCTAGTCTATAGTCTAGTCTATAGTCTAGTCTATAGTCTAGTCTATAGTCTAGTCTATAGTCTAGTCTATAGTCTAGTCTATAGTCTAGTCTATAGTCTAGTCTATAGTCTAGTCTATAGTCTAGTCTAGTCTATAGTCTAGTCTATAGTCTAGTCTATAGTCTAGTCTATAGTCTAGTCTATAGTCTAGTCTATAGTCTAGTCTATAGTCTAGTCTATAGTCTAGTCTATAGTCTAGTCTATAGTCTAGTCTATAGTCTAGTCTATAGTCTAGTCTATAGTCTAGTCTATAGTCTAGTCTATAGTCTAGTCTATAGTCTAGTCTAGTCTAGTCTAGTCTAGTCTATAATCTAATCTATAGTCTAGTCTATTGTTTAGTTTATTTTCTTGCCTGTAGTCTAGTCTATAGTCTAGTCTATTGTTTATATATAGTCTAATCCATAGTCTAATGTATAGTGTAGTCTATAGTCTGTAATTGCCGTAAAATCTGTGTAAAATTGAAAATTTTACATGTTTATCGTAATTTTTATGAAAATTTTTATTCTTGACATTATGTAAACAATGTAAATTAAGTGCAATTTACATAAAATCTGTGTATATTTAACGTGTTCGTTGATTTTTTGTAATTTCTATGAAAATTTGAATTTTTGACATTATGTAAACATTGTATGTAAACTATGTGTAATTTACATAAAATCTGTGTAAAATTCTTGGCATTATGTAAACAATGTAAATTTCGTGTAATTTACATAAAATCTGTGTAAAATTAAACTTTTTATTGGGTTTTTTTGCGATGTCTAAGAAATTCGGAGTACTTTACATAATGTAAACAATGTAAATTTCATGTAAATTACATAAAATCTTTATAAAATTAAAGATTTTATTTAGGTTTTTTGTAATTTGTATGAATATTTCGATTATTTACATAATGTAAACAATGTAAATTATAAGTAATTTACGTTAAATCTATGTAAAATTAATGTTTTTATTTAGTTTTTGTAATTTATAGGATAATCTTAAGTGTTGACATTAGGTAAACAATGTAAATTTACATTGCATTTGAAGATTTTGTGAACAAATTTATTGTTTACCTCAATCAATGTAAGTTTATGGAATTTATATTGTATTTTTTTTGCAATTATTTTCTTTAATGGAAAATTTACCCATTTGGAAATTTTGAAAAATTTATTTAAACTTATGCACACTCCCCCCTCTAACAATAATTCAAATTAAGTTGTTTTTATCACAAATCCACTGTAAGCTTTTTATATGTTATTGTTAAATCTTAAATAATATTTAATGGTTTGAACAAAAAAAAAACTTACCTCTTCCAACCTGCTGCCACTGCTTCCCTACATAAAACCGAATACACCCCAAGGTATGTATAGAGTAGATGACTGATGATGATTATTATATGATTAAGTAGCACTCGTAAATACTTGTACTTATTCAATTTAATAAAAAAAAACACACACAAACAATTTCTTAAAAGATTTAAGGAAAAAAATTGAAAATTTAATTTCAAAACTGGCTTCACTAATTGACTTTATTAGTCTGCATTAATTTTTTTTTATATTTTTTAAAATATTTATGTTAATTTGTAGAACTAGTTGTGATTAATCATTGTTGGGAGATAATTATGTTTAAATTACAAATGCATTTTATACACAAAATAAAAATTTACATAATTTTTTTTTTTTAATTTATATATTTGAAAACAATTTTTAAATAATTATGATGATGTTGTTGTTTTTTTCATAATTTTGCTGTTTTTAATTTTTTTGTCAGAAAACTACAAAATTTTGGCACTTATTCTAAATTTTTTTTTTCTTTTAAGTTATTTATTTATTTCAATATTTTTTTTGCTATTTTTTATAAATTTATGTTAAATTTTTTTTCTTTATTTATTTTTTTTTTTTTTTTTTTCAAATAATTTTTAAATTTTTTTAATTAAAATTTTCTCCATTTTGCGTTGTCGTTTTAGTTTACCGTGTGTTTTTTTAGGAAGACGTTAGTATTATTAGACCGTTTACTGAAGACTGAGTGTATAATTTTCAAAAAGATCATTAAGAAGATCTGTTAATATCAATGATAAAAACAAATTTATACACAAATCCCTAAAGTATAAAGAGAAAAAGCTTTTTTATCAGCAATCTCTTAAATACATTTCTCTCTCTCAATTCCTCTTTGTTATGCAAAACACAATCATAACGTTAGGCGACAAAGAAAAACAATGTACAACAAATTTAGTATAATTTACATAAAATCTATGTAAAATTACCAATTTAAATTACCAATTTTTCCTAAATTTTTTGAAAATCATGTCAAGAATTCACATGATGTAAACAATGTAATGATAGTGTAAACTATATAAAATCAAAACAAAATTACTTATTTTACAAGTTTTTCTCAATTTTGATGAAAATCGGAATTGTTGACATAATGTAAACAATGTAAAATGTGAGTAAACTATATAAAAGCAACTTAAATTTACACATTTTACAAGTTCTTCGCAATTTTGGTGATAATCTGAATTCTTGACATTATGTAAACAATGTAAATTTTGTATTATTTACATAAAATCTATGTAAAATTAAAGAATTGTTGACATAATGTAAACAGTGTAAAGTTTGAGTAAATTATATGAAATCTGGGTAAAATTTCTTAAATTACAAGTTTTTTCTCAATTTTTATGAAAATCTAAATTCTTGACATTATGTAAACAATGTAAAATGTGAGTAAACTATATAAAAACTAGGTAAAATTACATATTTTACAAGTCCTTCGCAATTTCGATGATAATCTGAATTCTTGACATTATGTAAACAATGTAAATTTAGTATTATTTACATAAAATCTATGTAAAATTAAAGAATTGTTGACATAATGTAAACAGTGTAAAGTTTGAGTAAATTATATGAAATCGAGGTAAAATTTCTTAAATTACAAGTTTTTTTTCTCAATTTTTATGAAAATCTAAATTCTTGACATTATGTAAACAATGTAAATTTGGTGTAAACTTTATGAAATCAAGGTAAAATGACGTATTATACATATTTTTCTCATTTTTTATGAAAATCTGAATTTTTTACATTATGTAAGCAATGTAAATTTTGTGTAAACTTTATGAAATCCAGGTTAAGTTACACGTTTTACATGTTTTTCTCAATTTTTATGAAAATCTAAATTCTTTACATTATGTAAACAATGTAAATTTGGTGTAAACTTTATGAAATCAAGGTAAAATTACACATTTTACTTGTTTTCCTCAATTTTTTTGAAAATCTAAATTCTTGACATTATGTAAACAATGTAAATTTTGTTTAAACTTTATGAAATCAAGGTAAAATGACTTATAATACATATTTTTCTCAATTTTTAGATAAATCTGCATTCTTTACTTTATGTAAACCATGTAAATTTTGTGTAAACTTTATGAATTAAATGCAAAATTTCATATTTTACAAGTTTTTCTCTAATTTTATGAAAATATGAATTCTTGACATTATGTAAACAATGTAAATTTTGTGTAAACATTATAAAATCAAGGTAAAATGACGTATTATACATATTTTTCTCAATTTTTATGAAAATCCGAATTTTTTACATTATGTAAACAATGTACATTCTGTGTAAACTTTATGAAATCAAGGTAAAATTACATATTTTACATTTTTTTCTCAAAATTTATGAAAATCTAAATTCTTGACATTATGTAAACAATGTAAATTTCGTGTAAACTTTATAAAATCAAGGTAAAATTTCTTATTTTACTAGTTTTTCTCAATTTTTATGAAAATCTGAAGTGTTGACACAATGTAAAGTTTTTAAAATCAAGCTAAAATTACACATTATACAAGTTTTTCTCAATTTTTATGAAAATCTAAATTCTTGACATTATGTAAACAATGTAAATTTGTTGTAAAATACAGTAAATTTTCATGTAATTTAAAGCTTTAAAAATTTATTGAAATTTTTATAAAATTTATAAGCCTTTACCTGATGTAAACAATGTAAAGTTCGTGTAATTTTAATAAAAGTTGTGTAATTTGACAAAATTTTGAACTTCAACAACATGAAAATGGTTTTCAATAACAATTTTAAACCAAATTTTTCTTCAATTCCCCTTATTTCTTTTTCGGATCTTTGGGCTTTTTATCTTTATCTTTCGCCTCCGTTTTGGGTTTAGCAGCTGGAGCCGGTTTTTTAGCTAAATCTTTAGTTTGTTCTTTAGCTTGTTTTGCATTTTTAGCTTCATCATTTTTAACTTCCCCTTTCTTCTGTTGCTCCTTTAAATCATCTTTTTTCTTATCCGCCTCAGTTAAGGGTTTTGCCTCGGTTTTTGCTTCTGGCTTGGGTAATTCTTTTATTTCCGATTTGGGTGTAGCCTTCACCGTACCCGGGGGTATTAGGCGTATTCCTACATTAGTATGTTTTAAATCGCGCCATATAATATTTCTAATTTTGCCCTCTAAATTTTGAGCATAAACATCAGTGGCCAATTCAGCAGGATCCGTTTCTTTTTCTAGTCTAACTTGTTTGACGATCTCATCTATTTCGGTTTTAATGGTATCATCGATTTTCTATAAGGGAGAGGAATACTTTAGACTAGACCAAAGACTAGACAATAGACTTCACTATATACTAAACTATAGACTAGACTATGGAATAGATTATAGACTAGACTATATACTAGACTTTAGACTAGACTATAGACTAGACTATAGACAAGACTATAGACTAGACTATAGACTAGACTAAAGACTAGACTATAGACTGGACTATAGACTAGACTATAGACTAGACTATAGACTAGACTATAGACTAGACTATAGACTAGACTATAGACTAGACTATAGACTAGACATAGACTAGACTATAGACTAGACTATAGACTAGACTATAGACTAGACTATACTATAGACTAGACTATAGACTAGACTATAGACTAGACTATAAACTAGACTATAGACTAGACTATAGACTAGACTATAGACTAGACTATAGACTAGACTATAGACTAGACTATAGACTAGACTATAGACTAGACTATAGACTAGACTATAGACTAGACTATAGACTAGACTATAGACTAGACTATAGACTAGACTATAGACTAGACTATAGACTAGACTATAGACTAGACTATAGACTAGACTACTATAGACTAGACTATAGACTAGACTATAGACTAGACTATAGACTAGACTATAGACTAGACTATAGACTAGACTATAGACTAGACTATAGACTAGACTATAGACTAGACTATAGACTAGACTATAGACTAGACTATAGACTAGACTATAGACTAGACTATAGACTAGACTATAGACTAGACTATAGACTAGACTATAGACTAGAACTATAGACTAGACTATAGACTAGACTATAGACTAGACTATAGACTAGACTATAGACTAGACTATAGACTAGAACTATAGACTAGACTATAGACTAGACTATAGACTAGACTATAGACTAGACTATAGACTAGACTATAGACTAGACTATAGACTAGACTATAGACTAGACTATAGACTAGACTATAGACTAGACTATAGACTAGACTAGACTATAGACTAGACTATAGACTAGACTATAGACTAGACTATAGACTAGACTAACTAGACTATAGACTAGACTATAGACTAGACTATAGACTAGACTACAGACTAGACTATATACTAGACTATAGACTAGACTATAGACTAGATTATAGACTAGACTATAGACTAGACTATATACTAGACTATAGACTAGACTATAGACTAGACTATAGACTAGACTATAGACTAGACTATAGATTAGATTATAGACTAGACTATAGACTAGACTATAGACTAGACTATAGACTAGACTATAGACTAGACTATAGACTAGACTATAGACTAGACTATAGACTAGACTATAGACTAGACTATAGACTACATTATAGACTACACTATAGACTAGACTATAGACCACACTATAGACCACACTATAGACTACATATAAACTAGACTATAGGCATGATTATAGATTATAGTCCAACCTATAATCCAGAATATATACAAGACTATAGTTCACATTATATACTCCTCTTTAACTCACCTTAAACTCTTCTTCCTTTATCAATTTATGCTTCAAACACAAATCCCTAAACGTAGTTATCGGATCATATTTCTCACGCATGATTTGAACTTCTTCCCTCTTACGATAACTAGTACCCGGATCAGACATTGAATGACCATGATAACGATAAGTTTCTAATTCCATGACTATAGGACCACATGAACGAGCATGATTTATAACAAATTCCGCAGCACTACGTACAGCCAAAACATCGTTACCATTAACCCAGAGTCCCGGTATATAATCACCTCTAGTATAATAATCTGTACTGCAAGAAGATCTTTTCATAGACGTACCCATGCCATATTTATTATTTTCACAAACAAAAACCACCGGTAATTTCCACAGACAGGCTATATTGAATACTTCATGCAGCTGTCCCTGGTTGGCAGCACCATCACCATAGCAGGCGAAATTAACACCTCCGTCACAATTATAGGCATGAGCAAAAGCTATTCCCGCCCCTAAAGGGGTTTGAGCTCCTACTATACCATTGCCTCCGAAAAAGTTAGGGGCGTAAGTATGCATAGAGCCTCCCTTGCCTCGACTGCAGCCTGTTTGTTTTTGGCACAGTTCCGCTATAATGTTATATATAGAAACACCCATCAGCCAGGTCCAGCCATGTGAACGATATGAAGTGATAATGGTGTCTTGAGATCTCATAGAAGATTTAATGCCTGTTTTCAGATGCAAACAAGACAGATTAGAATTTTTATTTCTGTTTAACACTTTTTTCCCCCTTACCCACACAACAGGCCTCTTGACCCACATATAAATGACAAAATCCTCTTATTAACTTTTCCTTATACAAATTACCACAAGCATTTTCCATTCTTCTTATAGTTTGCATTTCTTGGTACAATTTTAAGGCCAGTTGTTGGCTCAAACATATAGAGGAACAGGGCTCTTTTTCCAAATTGTATAATTTAAAGCTCTGGCGCGATTTATTTTAATAATTAACAGATTCTGTTTAAATTTTATGAAAAATTTATATTTTACCCACATTTTCCAATTGTATAGTAACACTGGGTCCTGAATCCTTTATATTATTTCCCTCACTGGCGTTCTTTTTACAAAAATGTTCCAAAAAGGAGAAACAGCGACGGGGTATCTTTTGGTTTAATAGTCTTAATGAAAGAGGTTTAAAAGAAAACATATTTCCGTATTTTTAAGAAAAATTGTGAAAATATTAAAAATTTTGTTGAATTTTGTAAGAAATCAGAAAAATATTTTGTCAAAATTTTAGGAATAAACAAAATTGCCAGGTTGGAAATATTTTTTGGTAGAACAGCAAGTTGCCATTGAAAAACAAATTAGGTTCTGATCATAGACTTGATTAGATCATAGAATTCTGAATTACATTCTAGTCTATGTATGGACTAATAGTCTGGTCTGAAGTCTAGTATATGGTCCATTCTAAAGTCTAGTCTAAAGACTAGTCTATAGTCTAGCCTATAGTCTAGTCTATAATCTAGTCTATAGTATAATATATAGTCTAGACTATAGTCTAGTCTATAGTATAATCTTTAGTCTAGTCTATAGTCTAGTGTATAGTCTAGTATATAGTCTAGTCTATAGTCTAGTCTATAGTATAGTCTATAGTCTAGTCTATAGTCTAGTCTATAGTCTAGTCTATAGTCTAGTCTATAGTCTAGTCTATAGTCTAGTCTATAGTCTAGTCTATAGTCTAGTCTATAGTCTAGTCTATAGTCTAGTCTATAGTCTAGTCTATAGTCTAGTCTGTAGTCTAGTCTATAGTATAATCTATAGTCTAATCTATAGCATAATCTTTAGTCTAGTCTATAGTCTAGTCTATAGTCTAGTCTATAGTCTAGTCTATAGTCTAGTCTATAGTCTAGTCTATAGTCTAGTCTATAGTCTAGTCTATAGTCTAGTCTATAGTCTAGTCTATAGTCTAGTCTATAGTCTAGTCTATAGTCTAGTCTATAGTCTAGTCTAGTCTAGTCTAGTCTAGTCTATAGTCTAGTCTATAGTCTAGTCTATAGTCTAGTCTATAGTCTAGTCTATAGTCTAGTCTATAGTCTAGTCTATAGTCTAGTCTATAGTCTAGTCTATAGTCTAGTCTATAGTCTAGTCTATAGTCTAGTCTATAGTCTAGTCTTTAGTCTAGTCTTTAGTCTAGTCTAGTCTAGTTATAGTCTAGTCTATAGTCTAGTCTATAGTCTAGTCTATAGTCTAGTCTATAGTCTAGTCTATAGTCTAGTCTTTAGTCTAGTCTATAGTCTAGTTTATAGTCTAGTCTATAGTCTAGTCTATAGTCTAGTCTATAGTCTAGTCTATAGTCTAGTCTATAGTCTAGTCTATAGTCTAGTCTATAGTCTAGTCTATAGTCTAGTCTATAGTCTAGTCTATAGTCTAGTCTATAGTCTAGTCTAGTTAGTCTATAGTCTAGTCTATAGTCTAGTCTATAGTCTAGTCATAGTCTAGTCTAGTCTAGTCTAGTCTATAGTATAATCTATAGTCTAATCTATAGCATAATCTTTAGTCTAGTCTATAGTCTAGTCTATAGTCTAGTCTATAGTCTAGTCTATAGTCTAGTCTATAGTCTAGTCTATAGTCTAGTCTATAGTCTAGTCTATAGTCTAGTCTATAGTCTAGTCTATAATCTAGTCTATAGTCTAGTCTATAGTCTAGTCTATAGTCTAGTCTATAGTCTAGTCTTTAGTCTAGTCTTTAGTCTAGTCTATAGTCTAGTTTATAGTCTAGTCTATAGTCTAGTCTATAGTCTAGTCTATAGTCTAGTCTATAGTCTAGTCTTTAGTCTAGTCTATAGTCTAGTTTATAGTCTAGTCTATAGTCTAGTCTATAGTCTAGTCTATAGTCTAGTCTATAGTCTAGTCTATAGTCTAGTCTATAGTCTAGTCTATAGTCTTGTCTATAGTCTAGTCTGTAGTCTAGCCAGTAGTCTAGTCTATAGACTAGTCTATAGTCTAGTCTATAGTCTAGTCTATAGTCTAGTCTACAGTCTAGTCTATAGTCTAGTCTATAGTCTAGTCTATAGTCTAGTCTACAGTCTAGTCTATAGTCTAGTCTATAGTCTAGTTTATAGTCTAATCTAGTCTATAATCTAGTCTATAGTCTAGTCTATAGTCTAGTCTACAGTCTAGTCTATAGTCTAGTCTATAGTCTAGTTTATAGTCTAGTCTATAGTCTAGTCTATAGTCTTGTTTATAGTCTAGTCTATAGTCTTGTCTATAGTCTAGTCTATAGTCTAGTTTATAGACTAGTCTATAGTCTAGTCTATAGTCTAGTCTATAGTCTAATCTATAGTCTAGTATAGTCTGTAGTCTAGTCTATTGTCTACTCTATAGTCTAGTCTACAGTCTAGTCTACAGTCTAGTCTACAGTCTAGTCTACAGTCTAGTCTACAGTGTAGTCTACAGTCTAGTCTATAGTCTAGCCTATTGTCTAGTCTATAGTCTATTTATACTCTAGACTATAGTTATAGTCTAATAGTCTATAGTCTAGTCTATAATCTCATCATAGTACATACTCTAGTCTTTAGTAGATTCTAGTCTATGGTGTAATCTAGGCTCTAACCTAGTCTCCAGTTCATAGTCTTGCCTCTTAATTACTTTTCCGCTTAATTTTCACTTTCACTTTAAAAAAATTAATCGAAATTTTAAATTTTTATTACAATATTTTATTATGTATTTGATTCGTATTTTTATGAATTTTTCTAATTTGTATGTTAATGGTGTTTATATTCTTAAAGAAATTAACGTTTTTTTTTTTTTTTTTTTTTTGCAAAAACTAAAAATATTTACATAAAACATTATCCTTTTGTAAATAAAATTGAGATGAGTAAATTGCAGCCAATTTTTTGGTGTAAACTTTTTGCACACTTTTAACTTAAAAACAATAATAACAAAATAAAATATCAAATTTCACTTTCAATTAATATCGTTGGCTAATAAAATTTACAATATTTTTCCCTTTTTTTTTTTTTGAACACTAAAAGCTGATGAAGAATTTTTTTTAACTTAATGATTAACACCCTTATTTTCTTGAATATGTTTTAGATTGAAATCAACGGTGCCACGAATCTTGGGCTCCAAACATTGAGAGTAGACATCGGTCCACAAGCCAGAAAGAGGCAATTCAGCATCGGCTTTAGCGGCGGCAGTAGCCTCATCGATTTCCTTGCGCACCTTAGTGTCAATAGCTTTGATTTCATCGGTTGTCATGAGACCCAATTCAATAACCAAATCCTTGAAAGAGGCAATAGGATCACGTTTCTGGCGTACTTCCTGGATTTCTTCGCGAGTACGATAGCTGGTACCGGGATCAGACATAGAATGGCCGGAATAACGGTAAGTATTGGTTTCCATAACAATAGGACCATGCTTGTTGACATAGTCAATGGCAAATTCGGTGGCACTGCGTACAGCCAAAACATCCATACCATCTACCCAGATGCCGGGCAAAGCATCACCACGGGTGTAGTAGTCAGTATTGCTGGAGGCACGTTCAGCACTGGTACCCATACCGTAGTTATTGTTTTCACATACAAAAATGCAAGGCAATTTCCACAAATAGGCCATGTTATAGGCTTCAAAGACTTGACCCTGATTGGCAGCACCATCACCATACAAAGCCAAACACATGCCACCATTACCCTTGTATTGACAAGCTAAAGCGACACCGGCACCCAAGGGAACCTAAAATTTTATAATAGTATTAAATTTACAGAAGAATTAAAATTCTTTTTAATTTCATACCTGAGCTCCCACAATACCATTACCACCAAAGAAATTGGGTGAGTACATGTGCATAGAGCCACCCTTGCCGCGGGCACAGCCATTTTTACGGCCTGTCAATTCGGATAAAACTTTTACGGGGGGTACACCCATCAAATAGGTCCAGCCGTGCACACGATAGGCGGAAATAATATTATCCACATCACGCATAGCGGCCTTCATGCCTAGCAGTAGAAATTATAATATAAAAATTTGTTCAACACTTAGATTAGGAAATCGACTTACCCACAGCACAGGCTTCTTGGCCAGAGTACAAGTGACAGAAACCACGAATAATTTTTTCTTTATACAAATTACCAGCAGAGGTTTCGATACGTCTAATGGTTTGCATTTGTGTGTAGTATTTGGTGGCTTCTTCCTTGGTCAATTTGACGGTGGTTTCGGGTCCCTTGTCCAAACGATGCAATTTGAAGGGCTGAAAGGAATGTTAAAGAATTTCAAGCCAAATTATTAAGACTTAAAAAAAAATTTAAATTTGTTTCAATAGTTTTTTTTTTGGACTTTAGTTTAGATCTAATTCAGTTCTAATTCAGTTCTAGAGTTCAGTTCTAGTTCAATTCTAGTTCAGTTCTAGTTCAGTTCTAGTTCAGTTCTATTTCAGTTCTAGTTCAGTTCTAGTTCAGTTCTAGTTCAGTTCTAGTTCAGTTCTAGTTCAGTTCTAGTTCTGTTCTAGTTCAGTTCTCAGTTCTAGTTCAGTTCTAGTTCAGTTCTAGTTCAGTTCTAGTTCAGTTCTAGTTCAGTTCTAGTTCAGTTCTAGTTCAGTTCTAGTTCAGTTCTAGTTCAGTTCTAGTCAGTTCGAGTTCAGTTCTAGTTCAGTTTCTAGAGTTCAGTTCTAGTTCAATTCTAGTTCAGTTCTAGTTCAGTTCTAGTTCATTTCTAGTTCATTCTAGTTCAGTTCTAGTTCAGTTCTAGTTCAGTTCTAGTTCAGTTTCTAGTTCAGTTCTAGTTCAGTTCTAGTTTCAGTTCTAGTTCAGTTCTAGTTCAGTTCTAGTTCAGTTCTAGTTCAGTTCTAGTTCAGTTCTAGTTCAGTTCTAGTTCAGTTCTAGTTTCAGTTCTAGTTCAGTTCTAGTTCATTTCTAGTATCAGTGCTAGTTCAGTTCTAGTTCAAGTTCTAGTTCAGTTCTAGTTCGTTCGTTCAGTTCTAGTTCAGTTCTAGTGCGTTCTAAGTTCTAGCTTTCAGTTCTAGTTCAGTTCTAGTTCAGTTCTAGTTCTTCTAGTTCAGTTCTAGTTCAGTTCTAGTTCAGTTCTAGTTCAGTTCTAGTTCAGTTCTAGTTCAGTTCTAGTTCAGTTCTAGTTCAGTTCTAGTTCAGTTCTAGTTCAGTTCTAGTTCAGTTCTAGTTCAGTTCTAGTTCAGTTCTAGTTCAGTTCTAGTTCTTCTAGTTTAGGTCTAGTTCAGTTCTAGTTCAATTCTAGTTCAGTTCTAGGTCTAGTTCAGTTCTAGTTCAG